AACAAAGCTATTGACAACTCCAACTTGACCGATTTTAAAGCAAAACAAATTCAGTATGTCTTTTTGGCACGCGATCATTATCTCTAAACAACTTCGTGTGTCCTACGTAGACTATGACTATAAAAGATCCGCATAAAATGAAATTTCCAAATTTGAAAAAATCGTCAAAATTTGTGCATCCGATATCGAGTGATGAACCGTAGGCCCACTGTCAAAAAGTGCAACGATAGTATAATGCCTTCTGAAGTTTTGGTAATTATGCATATGCTCATCAATGTGCAACCAAAAGTATAGGGTGACCGCGGGACTCGCGCTGATGACGTTAATTCTCTATTGTTAAAAACAAAGACGAGCTTTGGAATGATAGTATAACGAATGCCGAGCATACCAATCCATATTTATGAAATAAAATCTATTGCAAAACGATCGTCATACCAACGGTCATACGGCCGGTGTAAGTGGGATCTAAGGGTCGTCGTTCGCCCTCAAAATTCCCCATTTTTGAATGATAGGGCCTATCCTCAGGTCCCAAGTACACCGTATGCCGATCGTTTTCCGATGGATTTTTATTCATAAAAATCGATTGGTATGCTTGGCATACGTTATACTATCTTTCTAAAGCTCGTTTTTGTTTTGAACAATAAACAATTAACTTCTTCAGCGCAAGTCCTGCAGGCACCCGCTAAATTTTCTTGCAGGTTGACGAGCCTATGCATAGCTACCAGAACCTCAGAGGGCATACGCGTTATACTATCGTTGTACTTTTTAGCAGTGAATTTATGGTCTATTACGGTATTTTAAAGATTTTGTTGCCATATTTTGACGTTTAATGGTATATCCAAGGTTGAAGGGCTTAAATCCAAAAAGTGACAAAAACGTCTAGAGGTATTGATGTTACCTTGGTAATAAACCATATTCTTATATGACTACAATTTTTTTTTGCCGAAATGGCACGAACACAAACATTTCGATTTTTTACATCACCTAATTTATCGCCCTGTATATCACAACTCTGGGGTCCTATAAAAAATTTACAACAAGTAGCTTTATCCGGAAGAAACAGGCTATTGAACCCCACAAACCACATTAAAAAAGTTTCATTTTTGCCGAAAATATGAAACTTTGAATTTTGCCTGAAAATCTGTATGTGTAAGATCAAGTGTCCAGCAGTTTATGGTTTATGATTTGAAAGGTATACAAATACATATGTAATAAGTTTTGTATATACCTACATATAGATATATTGAGCATGTGTGACGTCATAAGATATGAAAAATAAGTACATTTCAAAGCGTTGTATCTCCGTCAATTTTTGACTAACAAGAAAAAGAAAAACCACGTGTTGACTTATGTTTTGACTAACGAAATCAGCAATAAAAAAAATTGATGCAAGGTGCCTGTTGTGAAAAATTATTTTTGTATTCTGCAGTTAATTTGAAAAATACGTATATGTATATCTACAGTATAGATCTTTTCTCACAGACATCACATATAGGGTGACCATACGTACAGCATTTCGCTGTATTGTACAGCATTTTCAAAGTCTGTCCAGCATTTGATTTTGTACAGCAAACGTACAGCGATTCGGATCCGATCATAGTTACGCCATCATCATCTCCCAGAGTTTTTTTTTTAATGCTAACTACCTTTTTTATCTTTCTATTCCTCGCTGCTAAGAAGAAGACACAGCATGATAGGTCTGTTTCTGCAGCAATCACAAACCAGTCAACGCGAATTTCATTGGTTGAAAATAGTCACAAAGTCAGAAACAGTCAGAAAACTAGTTTTAACCCAAGGGTTCCTAAAATTAATAGGTTGTCTGGTAATGGTAAACAGATGACGTCATCAGGAAGATTTAATGAAGATTTGCATTATGTTTAGACATCCAGATGACGTCTTAAAAGTTATCAGCCAACCTACCTCTTTCAAAAAACCTTGGTTTCAACCATTGAAATTCACTCTGACTGGTTTGTGATTTCTGTGCGAGCGAACAACAGACCTATTATGTTATGTCTTTTGTTTTTTTTTTTTGTTAGGTGGTATAATAACGGGCTATAAAATCGACAAAATTTGCATTTAGTGCTTTTTCCACTCATCTGTCCCAAAATTTTAGATGTGTACAGCATTCATACAAAAAAAATATGGTCACCCTAATCACATACCTATCAGAGCGAATTTCATTAGTTGTAAGCTATCAGAAAACTGGCTGCTGGCGATTTGCATCAATCAAAAACACTTTGACTGATTTGTGATTTCTGTGAGAACAGACCTCAAGTAATGAGTAAACATATGATATGATTGTTTATCATATTGATCCCTAACCATTTTTACAATTCAATCTGAGAAGGGGGGCGCCAGAATTGAACTTTGCCTCGGCATATAATAGCCATTGGACCGGCCCTGCGTATGCTTCTGTTTAACATTAGGTTTGTTCCAACCGGCAGTAATTTCCAGTAATATTACTGACACACATGCGCAATTGTGAAATGCTGTTCCAACCAGTTAAAATTACTAGTTTAGAATTGGCGATAATTGACAGTTCGTCGTTCCAACCGGAGTTACGGATAGTAAAATTACGGTTCAAACGATTCTTGCTTGAAAGGAAGAACTGTTGGTTCTAAAATTAGACGCATGCATAGTGAGGTCGAAAACGGGTCAGTGGTTGAACAACAACAAACATAAATAATAATACATAACCCAGAACCTCATTTTCATGTTTATTTAAATTATTTATGTCCGATTGACCAATAAAGTGCTATTTATAGAACAGCTTTGCGTCAATAAAGTAGCACTTTATTGTACTAGTAAAATAAAATGCTATTTTATTTTACTAGTAAAATAAAGTGCCACTTTATTGCCTACCTGGACTGCCTGATAAGGTGAAACAGGTCCTGACAACCTGCCAAAGTGAAGCACGTCCTGACAACCTGCCAAGGTGAAACAGGTATACCTACGCGAATTTTACTTTTTTCATTCAATTTTTTTAATTTTTAACAAAAACCAGTTGTAATCGTACATAAAAGCATGTATATAACGCTTACATAAACAGGTTTTATCGACTCATTATTTAATAGCCTCGCTCGCAAGCTCGCTCGGCCATAAAATTATTCGTACAATAAAGCCTTACTTTATGTACTTGTTATATAAATAGCTATTATTTGAAAATGACTGCTATAGAAGTTAAGTAATTTTATTTTATTTTTCAGATTTTTGTCTTATATTAGGTTTAGAAGAATTCCTTATTGTGGTGGAAGATGATTCACCTGCGAGTATGCAAGTTATGTTGATTTTGCTATTTTCATCTTGTGTTGTGAGTACTACTAGTTCAAAAAACGTTCCAACAAGTTTTTAAGTTATTTAGTATAATATTACTGTTTTTGATTGCGCAGTCACATTAACGCGGTTACGGACGATAATATTATAGTAATATTATTGCAGGTTGGAACAAACCTATTGAAAAGGAGAATAATTAGTATAAATAAGTATAATAATAACATAGGGTTTTATAATATAACTCCTCCCTCCTTAAGTGGTTGCAAATTGGGATTGGTTAACAATGCTGGGCAATTCAATCTGCACCTCAGTTTTAGTTTTACTACATTTTCTTTTAAAATATAGAATAAGAATAATTGTTATAAAAATAGAACTTAATACTATGGCCGAGTTCGTTTTTGTCATCTTTTTCATCAATTTGTTTCGAAATTTCGACAGACACGTGATTTATGGATTGAAACTGACTGAGCCAGTCACGTGCCTGTCAAAATTTCAGACGATAAAGATGACAAAAACGAACTCGGCCTATGGTTATTTTATAACACACCATTGACAGTGACACATTATTGGTTTCAAAATTCAACTCTTTAATGGGTCAATATTTAATAATGGGTAGTTCAAGTTCTGGGTTGAAGTTCTCATGCGTGTCTTCCAAAAATGTTCGATTGTTAATTTATTATTGAACATTTATCTTTGGAAATTACGATTCGACTGGAAATGATTTCCATGTATTTTTTCTGGTCACATTGCATCATTGCTGTCATATGTCGTTTTGGAATAATACTTGATTATTGGGTATTTCTTCAACTGTCAATTTTTTGTACCTATTGAATTTTCATGGATGGGTATAGTTCGATTTTGCACAAACAAATGTCTTCAACATTTAACATTTGGACATTTTTGTAAAGCATTGTAATACGTGTCTCTGGTAAGTAACAGGTAAGGATACTTAACACTAATTGTATAATTTTGTATGGGTATAGGAAATAATTTATACAATATAAAAGGTTTAGGATTAATTATTGGTGTAAATATAATAAATATAATTTGCTCCTTTTGAATTATCACATGAGAGCACAACATGAGAGGACGTATTACGTTGGCAAACGGTATTTGTTGACTGGTGGGTATGTTTTTCAAGATCAAGTTCAATTCATTATGCTGCAGTATTGTATAGTGCATTATGCTTGTGTGTGCAAAACTGATTGCGTTTTGTATGTGGTTAATTAACTCGCGTAATTTACTACTGTGCATATTGATATTTTCCTAATCCTAAATTAGATTCATCATTAAGATCTTATTAAGATAGTTTGAATATTATGATTATCCGTCGAAATATTTCTTATCTTATCTGAAATTAATATCTGATTATTTTCGATATTTGAAAATTGATCATGAAATGTTTTCGTAACTTGTTTAAGTACGTTCGTTTGATCTATTTGACCAAAATAAACCTTTGTTTTTTCGTCATCATTTGAAAATCGCTAAACCAAATGTTCTCAGAATCGGGGATTAAATTGAGAATAAAGAGACCTTTAAAACAATATACCACTGACACCGCCTTCTATTTAAAAAAAAAAAAAAACGTTTGAAAACTGCGCCTAGCTGTCATTTTGTCATTTGTTTGTCAAAAAATGGAGAATTTACCATGAATTTACTCACATATCATTCCAAATTTCGTTGCAAGATAGCGAGCGGTTCAAAAGTTAGAGGGGGGGGGGAGTGTAGGTAGGTAAAAAGAGAAAAACCAATTTATTATCTAATAATAAAATATTTTTTATTTACATCCTATGCTAATCCCATTTGCTTATCATATTCTTCATCAGATATTTTTTTCTTTTTGAATTTCTTCAGTAATGCCATGTCTCTTTTCAATTCTTCTATATCCTCTTCAGTAACACCTCCTAAAATTTATAATTTTTGAATTGACAGACATTATCTTGAATAGTTTAATTACCTTTTCGTTTTTTAGTTTTTCCTTCAGTTTTCGCAGCCAATTTCGCCTGTTTCCTTTTAGTCCTTTTTTCTTTTCTTTCATCTTTCTTTTGTTTGGTTATCGACCATGCCTCCGTAGATTTTTTAATATGCTTTGTCTTTTTATTAGGCCAAATGCCAGTATTTTTATATTCTTCCAACTTTTTTTTTCTAATAGCTTCTCTTATTTTGTCCTTATAAGGTATAATATCCATATTTAAATTATCGACAATAGGAAAATCTGAAATGTCTCTATTTTTTAATTCTGGCATTTTGGGAAGCTGTAAAAGGCCATATGTTGCTCCTAAGGCACCCAAGGGCAACTCCTGAAAAATTATTATTTTAGTGAAAAAATCATTTTCTACACAAGAAAGTTTGGGTTGATTACAGACTACAATAGGTTTCCAAACAACATCAGGATATTGGCAAATTGCATTTTCAGGAACAGCCATGAACAAGTGAAAAATGTAACTATATAATAAAAAATGGAATTAATTTTTACCTGAACTCTTAATAAAAGTGAACACTCATGCTTCGAATAAGCCCTTATATGTGACACATAAGCTTTTGTAGCAGTCTCCAACAATAATCGGTCTTTTTTCAATAAACTTCTTATTTTTTCTCTCAAAGTATCAATCTGAAAGTGCCCTTCTCCAGCCATATCGTCCAATTTGTTGAGCTTCACTCGTTGATTCGTCTCAATAAAATTCACATAGGCTTCTTCGTTTTCCAATAAAACAATCAGAGCACTTCCTTGTTGGCCTTGTCTTGCCGTTCTGCCAACTCTATGGACAAATGCTGAAGCATTTGCTGGCGGATCCCATTGTAGAACCCAATCTACCTAAAAACAAAGATTTTGTAATAAGAAGGTGTAATTTATTTAACTATGTTCTATTTATTTATTTATTTATTTACGTATAAAAAGATATATACACTCGAAGTGATACTTTGGTGATACAAAGTTTAAATCTAAAATAGGAATGCTACAATATTTTTATGTATCGATATTTTTTTAAGCGATACCCGATATTTTGTATCGATCCTTCGGCCGTTCGATACTGAGATGTATTGGTAAAATATGCTGGTATCAATATATTTTCGATCCGGATAATTTACCAATATAGTTTTTTTCAGCTCAATCTTTTCAGTTTTATCAAAGTATAGATGCATGTAAAATTTTTCGTGAAATCAGGTCGGAAATCAAAAGAAGTAAATAAAATCCCCTAGAAATGCCATTTTTGCATGTTTGAAATTGATGTTTATCATGATTGATGTTTATATTTTGAGGCGTCGCTGACATCTTAATTAGTAGAGTCAAATGAACCTTTATTTACACTTATTTTTGACACTCGTTTTGACATTTTCTTCTAATATTTCAATAGGATCAATAGGATTGTCCAGCCCACAGTCCAGATATCAATCCTATCAATCACTAGATCCAAGAACTGTCCAGAGAAATAAAATAAAATCTTGTGCTTTACGTACCTCTGGTATGTCAATTCCTCTAGCCATAACATCTGTACACAATAACAAAGCCTTTTCGCTATCTCTAAATTTATCCAAAACCCTTTGGCGTTTATTTTTCATTTTCCCGTGAATTGCCAATACTGGAAGTTCCAAGTCTTTAGGTATTATTTGTGTGAATATTTTTGACCAATAATCCACACAGGCGCATGTTGGCAGAAAGAGCATGGACTTCTGTATTTGTTTTTGTTGTAGGAACGAGAGAAGAGTGGACAGTTTACCTATAAATATCAAATTAAGCTAATCCTGGAGTGTAATGGGTAAAACTTACCATCATTTTTGGCTAAAATATAGTAATTTTGAAGCATATCTGGGGTGCTTTGTTTTGCTTTAGCTGATACACTGACTAATACTGGATTTCTGAGACCGGCTCTTATTAAATCTTGAACCTAAAATTATTGATAATGGTGAAAAGTCACTTACATAATGATAATCAAGAAGAGAAACAATATTGTTACTCGACAAATAAATATTTTAAACCATCTATTCTTTTGGTCTGCCTGTGCAAAATGTCATAAATCGCCCCTCAGCAAAAAATAAATCTGATTGGCAGTAAAACATAGAATCTAGGTTATTTTGCACAATGACTTAATAAGAAAATCAAACAATTGTTAAAAACAAAAATAACCTAATGAGTTCTCATTGCAACTATAATATAATATTTATATTATAGATTCAATTATCGAATTCTTATTTAGGTTTTTATTGCAAATCTTCAATTTTTCTCTTTTCTCCTGGTGATAGGTATTCTTAAAACAAGCTTACGACGGATAAATAATGTATTATATAGTGTAAACCCTAGGCAGCATGAATTTGCTTGAGTCCAAATTAGATTTTCCTACATAGTAAGTTTGGAGGATAAATAATAATATGTTTCTCCTAAAAGCTCTAAATTCACTGATCAGATTTACAGATTCGGCCTAAGGCAAAAGTTACTTATTATTATTAGTTCAATAGTAGTGGTTTAATACACTTCAATTTGGGTTTTGCTGGCAACAGATACATACTTCTTTTGTTTGAGTAGCAGAAAACAGTCCAGTCCTTCTCTGCCGTGGCAAATAACTTAAAATTGTATCTAAAGTCTTCTGAAAGCCCAAATCTAATAGTCTATCAGCTTCATCCAAAATCAATACTTCCTGAAATGAATTTAATAATTATTGTCCATATGAATATTATGTCAAAATAAAAAATCCTACCAGCTTTTTTACAGCATTTGGCAAATTAATATCCTGTTTTCTGGTTAATAGGTCCTCTAAACGTCCTGGAGTACATATGATTATATTTCCACCTTTTTCTCTAAAGCTTTTAACATCATCATCGACACTGTTTCCTCCAACAAGCAAAATTTGAGTTAAATTCTGGAAATTATACAAAATATTAAATACAATGCATAAACAAAAACATTCATTTAGGCTTACATTCACAGATTTCAAAAGTTGGTCCAATACCTCCTTAGTTTGCAATGCCAGTTCTCTAGTTGGAGATATCACTATTGCACCTACATCGTGCTTTTGCCATTTTTCTTCTGACTCTCTCCTTTTCAGGAAATCGAGAATTGGTATTAGGAAGGCCAGGGTTTTGCCAGAGCCTGGAGTGTAAATCCCAATGTAAATAAATAGAATAGCCAAAATGCAGAAGAATGCAGAATTGCTATTTTATAGTAGATATGCGAGGGGTTAATCACTAAGGGAAAAATGTGACAAGATTTCGGATTTAGAGCGATTTTGGGGGATTTCGGGTGATTCGAAGGATTTCGAGTGATTTCGGAGGATTTCGGATGATTTCGGAGGATTTCGAGTGATTTCGAATGATTTCGGAGGAGTTTTAGGGATTTCAAGACACACCAATATTCTATATTTTGGTGATTTGGAACGTCATCGCCTAGAGATTTCGACCAACTTTAATAAATTATTGGTAAATTCTAAAAATATTACATATTTCAGGCTAACTAAAAACAACTTATTATTTTTATACCTACTTTTAAACCACCCCTTTCACAATATTCTCAATCAAATGAAAAGTAGAAGTATGTGTTATAGTATAGCTGCGCTGCTTTTAATGATGTAAGCATGCGGTTTTTTCTGTTCTCCTTAGAAAATCAAATAGAAAAACGTGGTATATTTTGGGCTTGTTCGCACAGCAATCACAAACCAGTTAGAGCGAATTTCATTGGTTGAAAACTGTAATGTATTTAACAGGGGTTAAATACACAACTTACTCAAAATAATTAACCGATTGCCGAAATAAAAGCCGAACTTATTTAAGGGACTAATTTTATTCCACAATTTGAGTTGAATGTAAGAGAGAGATTTTAGACATGACAATTGCTTAAATACTCTAGCCAAAGTAGTAGGGGCAATTAATGTGCATGTGCAAACCGCTTGGCTTTTTAGCGCCAATATTATTATTTAAATCACATATACTACATTACTTCCCCCCTAAAAAAAAAATCACAATAGTTTTCCACAGCCATTCAATAACAACTGAGAAAAAAATATATATATATACATAACTATAAAGTGCAGTTAATAGTAAAACATTTCAACTCAATAACCCAAATATATACAATTATTACATCAATAAAATTGACAAATCATATCTTATGGATACTACAAGTGATCCTTAATTAAAACATCATTTTCTTATACGTTTAGAGCGCCTAAGTATAGTATTAGTTGGCACCATTTTGTCTTTAGTGATGAATGCATCACTGCAATAGGTTTTGAAATTTGAGTTGGACTCACAAATAAATTGTTTTTAGGTTCATTAACTTGTTCAAACTTATCAACTATATCTTCAACATCGCCTTGGCTATTATCATTAGTAGCATTTGTTAAATCAATTGGAATGTGAGGTACTTTTGTGCTGAAATCATCATGTTTTTTAATTTGGTTACAATGACGCTTCCAAGTTTTTCGTAAATCAGCAACTTCAACCAGATAAGTTCGCTTACCAATTACTTTAACAATTCTACCAGCAATATAGGAAGGGTGACTAACATTTCTGTAATCTTTCACTAATACTGATTCTCCAATTTCAAAATCTATGTTTTTTCCACCTTTAGTCTCTACCTGCTGTTTTTGAATGTTTTCAACTCTTTTGCGTATATGCTCTGTGTTGGGAACTTTAAAAGTTACTTCTTTAAACTCTATAGGCAATAAAGTTGAAAACCTTGTCCTTAACTGTCTACCAAAAATAAGCATTGCTGGGCTTACACCCGTAGTGCTATGTGGTGTATTACGATAATCGAATTGAAATCTGCTTAATGCCAAGTGTGTATCTTGCATATTATTAACTTCTACAGCCTTTTTAAGAGCATTTTTAACCGTTTTGACAGAATTTTCGGCGGCTCCGTTGGAGGAGGGAGAGTATGGGGGACTAGTTAAATGGTTGATGTTGTTTTTCTTAAGGAAATCCTCAAATTCGTCAGATACCAGAGATCTACCATTATCAGAAACAACGGTAATTGGAAGGCCAAATCTAGCAAACAGGTTCACTTAGAAAAAGCATCTACAACCACCAAATAACTTTTGCTTTTTAATTCAAAATAGTCTAAATGAATTCTTTCCCATGGCCCCTTTGGCCATGGCCAAGGAACCATTTCACATTTGGGAGGGTTGTTAGAATGAAGCATACATGAATCACATGACTTCACAATTTTTTCTATGCTTAAATCCAGATTAGGAAACCAAACGTAACTTCGAGCCAAGTTCTTCATTTTAACCACCCCCATGTGTGTTTTATTTAACTGATTCAAAATTTCATCTTGCAAAATCAATGGGATAACAATTCTATGATTCCAAAAAATGCAGTCATCCTTAACAAAAAAATCAAATCTTTTAGTAAAATAGGGTTTCAAATCGCATTCCTTCACCTTTTGAGGCCAACCCTTTTCAATGAATCGCTTAACTTTGGTTAGCAGTGCATCTGAATTTGTAGCCTGCTTAACACTTTCAAAATTTAAAACAAAATCTTTATTTGAATCCAGAAAATTGAAATAATCTATGTCCACGTTATCAGTTTCAAAAAAATCATTACTATTTTTATTTGGTAAACGAGATAACCAATCGGCAGTGTTCTTTTTGCTGGCAATATACTCAATATCGTATTGATATCCTGACAAGATAATCGCCCACCTTCTTAAACGGTTGGCTGAAAATTGAGGAATTGCTTTATTTGGACTAAAAATTGTAACAAGTGGTCTCATATCGGTGACCAAAGTGAATTTTTTATTATATAGATACTGATTGAACTTGAGAACACCAAAGATTATTGCTAAACCCTCCTTTTCGATTTGAGAATAGCCACGTTCTGATTTTGAAAGTGTCCTAGAAGCAAAAGCTACAGGTTTTTCTTCTGCATTTGGAAATTTATGGCTTAAAACAGCTCCTACCCCCTCTAAAGATGCGTCCACTGTGAGTTTAAGTTCCAAATCTGGATCAAAATGTACTAAAACTTGAGAAGATTTTAAAATTTCTTTAATTTGACTGAAAGCTACTTCACACTCGTTGTTCCAAACCCAAGGAATATTTTTTTGCAAAAGTTTATATAAAGGACTCAAAATAGTTGACATATTTTTGACAAATCTCCCGTAAAAGTTTATACTTCCCAAAAAAGATTGTAATTCCTTGACATTTGTTGGTGTTGAAGCTTGATCAATTGCTAGGGTTTTATCCCCAGATGGATGTAACCCTTCAGCGTCAATAATAAATCCCAAATATTCCACACTTTTTGCAAAAAAAATACATTTGTCATAATTTAACTTTAAACCCGCTTTTTTTAAAATAAATAAAACTTTTTCTAAATTTTCTAAGTGCTCTTTTTTATCTTTGCCTGAAATCAAAATATCATCTTGAAAAACTACACAACCTTCCACACCCCCTAATAAAGCATCCATTATTTTCTGAAACTTTGCCGGGGCACATGCCACTCCAAAAGTTAATCGATTGTATTTGAAAAGACCCAAATGTGTTGAAATGGTTAATAATACTTTACTATTTTCATCCAGTCCTATCTGCTGGAATGCTTGTGACAAATCCAGCTTAGAAAACTCCCTTCCTCCTTGGAGCTTGGCAAATAATTCTTCGATTCTTGGCATGTAGTGTTGATCAATCTCAATGGCCGGATTGATAGTCACTTTGAAGTCACCGCAGATTCTGATTTGACCATTTTTCTTGAAAACCGGCACTATGGGTGTTGCCCAGGGGCTGTAGTCGACTGGTGAAATGATTCCTAAAGATAAAAGGCGATTTAGTTCCTGTTCAACTTGTTTTCTAATAGCAAAGGGTATAGGCCTCGCTTTTATAAATTTTGGGTTTGCATCAAGATTTTTAAAATTAATTTTAACTAATCCTTCCTTAAAATATCCTAAACCAGGAGAAAATACTTCATTATATTTTTTTTTTAAATATTCCAAGCTTTTGTCATTACTTTTTACAAAATCTTCTTGCTTAATATTATTTATAACAGACAAACTTAAATTATACATGGTGAGAAAATCCCTATCTAGTAAGGGAGGGCCACCATTTTCCATTACAAAAAAATCTAAATAATTTTCATTATTGTTAAACTGTATCTTTAAACTTATTACCCCTTCCGGTTTAACTTGAACCCCATTATAAAAAATAAAACGTCTATTGGTAGCTTGAAGCAAAATATTAGGAAAGTATTTTAAATAAAATTCCTTCGACACGCAAGATATGCTGCTTCCTGTATCTACATGAAAAACGAAATTTAAATTTTGTACCAAAATATTTAACGTAAACAAATTTTCTGAAATATCAGAAGTTCCTTTTTGGGAAATATTTCGATCTGAAACATTGAAAAGGAAAATATCATCATCTGAATTATTATTCTTTACATTATGCATGTTTTGATTTGACATTCCTGAATTGCTATTTAAATCCTCTAAAAAATGTTGTTTTTGGTTAACCACATACCTTTGTTTATTTCTACAAACATTGGCCAAATGCCCTATTTTTTTACAAGCATTGCAAGAATAATTTTTATAAATACACTTATCTTTGTTGTGATTTCTCCTTCCACAAACTTCGCAGTTGCCCCCATGCTGGAACTGGTCTTGCTGCTCTTGTTGTTGACCCTGGTACCGTCCTTGACTGTGACTGTGGCTGTGACGTATGCCTCTCGTCATCGCTGGGACCTGCGCTGACCTATACTGGCCACTGCTGCTGCCCTGTCGCCCGCCGCCCCCTTGAATGTGGTGGATCGGTTCTGTTTTTACCATAACATCATGGATTTCTCTCGCTGCCATCTTAGATGCTGCCAAACCCACCATTCTTTCGAAATCGGTCGCTATGCCTTCCTCCATCAGGCGGTCCATTATTGGTCCCCTCTCAAAACCAAAAACAAATTTATCTCGTAGGCTCACCTTTAATTCTGGTCCAAACTCGCATCCAACTGCCAAACCTCGCAATCGAGCTGCCCATTCCGTTGCCGATTCGGTGTACTCTTTCCGTGCGCTATAGAATTTGAATCGTGCAGCGAACGGACTTTGCTGTGGCTTAAAATAACCGTTGAGTACTTCGACTATCTGTTTGTAGGTCTTCTCTTCAGGTTTTGTGGGGCTCA